CAAAGCATGTAGAGGTCTGTAATTTTTATCATAGGTACACTTCAACTGTGAGAGACGGAATCTAAAACAAAAATCCAGAAAATCACATTGTATGATTTTTAAGTAATTAATTTGCATTTTATTGCATGACATAAGTATTTGATCACAGACCTGTTAGTTTTTCTTTAAGAAGCCCTCCTATTCTCCACTCATTACCTGTATTAACTGCACCTGTTTGAACTCGTTACCTGTATAAAAGACACCTGTCCACACACTCAATCAAACAGACTCCAACCTCTCCACAAAGGCCAAGACCAGAGAGCTGTGTAAGGACATCAGGGATACAATTGTAGACCTGCACAAGGCTGGGATGGGCTACATGACAATAGGCAAGCAGCTTGGTGAGAAGGAAACAACTGTTGGCGCAATTATTAGAAAATTGAAGAAGTTCAAGATGACGGTCAATCACCCTCGGTCTGGGGCTCCATGCAAGATCTCACCTCGTGGGGCATCAATGATCATGAGGAAGGTGAGGGATCAGCCCAGAACTACATGGCAGGACCTGGCCAATGACCTGAAGAGAGCTGGGACCACAGTCTCAAAGAAAACCATTAGTAACACACTACGCCGTCATGGATTAAAATCCTGCAGTGCACGCAAGGTCCCCCTGCTCAAGCCAGTGCATGTCTAGGTCCGTCTGAAGTTTGCCAATGACCATCTGGATGATCCAGAGGAGGAATGGGAGAAGGTCATGTGGTCTGATGAGACAAAAATAGAGCTTTTTGGTCTAAACTCCACTCGCCGTGTTTGGAGGAAGAAGAAGGATGAGTACAACCCCAAGAACACCATCCCAACCGTGAAGCATGGAGGTGGAAACATCATTCTTTGTGGATGCTTTTCTACAAAGGGGACAGGACGACTGCACCGTATTGAGGGGAGGATGGATGGGGCCATGTATCGCGAGATCTTGGCCAACAACCTCCTTCCCTCAGTAACAGCATTGAAGATGGGTCGTGGCTGGGTCTTCCAGCATGACAACGACCCGAAACACACAGCCAGGGCAACTAAGGAGTGGCTCCGTAAGAAGCATCTCAAGGTCCTGGAGTGGTCTAGCCAGTCTCCAGACCTGAACCCAATAGAAAATCTTTGGAGGGAGCTGAAAGTCCGTATTGCCCAGCGACAGCCCCGAAACCTGAAGGATCTGGAGAAGGTCTGTATGGAGGAGTGAGCCAAAATCCCTGCTGCAGTGTGTGCAAACCTGGTCAAGACCTACAGGAAACGTATGATCTCTGTAATTGCAAACAAAGGTTTCTGTACCAAATATTAAGTTCTGCTTTTCTGATGTATCAAATACTTATGTCATGCAATAAAATGCAAATTAATTACTTAAAAATCATACAATGTGATTTTCTGGATTTTTGTTTTAGATTCCGTCTCTCACAGTTGAAGTGTACCTATGATAAAAATTACAGACCTCTACATGCTTTGTAAGTAGGAAAACCTGCAAAATCGGCAGTGTATCAAATACTTGTTCTCCCCACTGTAAGTATTTGATACATCAGAAAAGCAGAACTTAATATTTGGTACAGAAACCTTTGTTTGCAATTACAGAGATTATACCTTTCCTGTAGGTCTTGACCAGGTTTGCACACACTGCAGCAGGGATTTTGGCCCACTCCTCCATACAGACCTTCTCCAGATCCTTCAGGTTTCGGGGCTGTCGCTGGGCAATACAGACTTTCAGCTCCCTCCAAAGATGTTCTATTGGTTTCAGGTCTGGAGACTGGCTAGGCCATTTTTTTCTTCACATTTTTACACATCTTCCCACCTACCCCCTGGGGACTGCCGACGTACCCCTAGGGGTACGCTTAACCCCGGTTATAAAACACTGCCCTAGAAGACTAAATGAAGTAGTGCTCACCAGAATAATGTCTTACATGGATAGAATGCAGAGGCGCAACTTTGGTTTTAGAAGTGGGGGGGACATATTATCCAGTCGGATAAACACTCCAAACAGCCTACCTGACCGCTCGGAGGCATCCGCATGGTCCTAAAGCACACCGTTGCCTCGTTTTTTAATCACATTCCAATGATAAAACTGGGGGGGGCAAAAATGTGGGGCAGAATGTCCCCCTCGTCCCCAGTGAAAGTTGTGCCCCTGATAGAATGAATACATAAGTAATGTAGTTAACGCCGGTAAAGTTTTGTTTATGAACCCGGGAGAAAACGCAATAACTCCAAAACAGTGGAAAGATTGTTCCCTTACAAAATGTCCAAATGTCATCAGTTTGACCGGTTTTAAGGAAATGAAAAGCTGAGAAAACGATTACTTCAGTTCGTCTTGGATGCATATTTTATGTGGTTGAAATACTGACTGCTTGCCAAACAGTGTCAAAGATAACTTATATTCGCATTTTCTCAAGCGATGCTTAAAGAAATAAGTAATATTTATCCTATTCCCGGGAAAAATAACATTTATTGTATCGTTTTAGTGCAAGAAATGCAGAATTCTGCAGGAGTTCATATTATGTTAGGCTACATGTTAGAGGATATAGGCCTACCTACAGTCAGTGTCCAGATTTCAGTGACTATTCCATTTTACCCATATTAATTTAAATTAGGAATATTCTGTTTATTCATGGCTACTTGTGAGCAGGATATCAAAGGTGCATGAAAACAGCTTATCCCTAATAAGACCTTAAGCGGGATATGAGCTACTATCTGGAACAGGGTTTTCCAAACTCAGTCCTGGGGCCCCTCCTAGGTGCACGTTTTGGTTTTTGCCCTAGCACTACACAGCTGATTCAAATGATAAAATCTTGATGATGAGTTGGTTATTTGAATCAGCTGTGTAGTGCCAGGGCAAAAACCTAAATGTGCACCCCTAGCTTCCTATACATATGGAAATTAAAAAGGTTTATGAATGACTTTTTGGAGGGTTACTGTCAAAATGATTTATTAAAGAAAAAAAAGACATTGATGACCGAGCTCGTGGGCCCCCCACCCGCCTTGCGGGGGCTGCAGGTGTGTCCTGAACGCCAGTGATTGTGTCTTGAGGGGGAGAAAGACCCAGTGGAGGCAGTAACAGGCAGGTAGAGGGGGGCCAGGCAAGTCCAGGTATCAGGCCAGGGTGTTCTCAGTCGTGGTCCTAGAGCCTCAGCCTCAGGCCCCGGAAGGGGAGACGGACTTGGGAGAGTGCTCCGAAACATGACCCTGACAAACCGCACTGGTTCTTTGCACACTGCTCGCTTAAACCGGAAGCCAGCCACACCAATGTCTCGGAGGAAACCCTGTTCAGCTGGCGACCAGCCCACCACAAGGAGTCGCTAGACAAGGAAATCTCGTCTGGCCAAACCCTCCTCTAACCCGGACAACGCTTAGCCAATTGTGCGCCGCCTCATGGGTCTCCCGGTCACAGCCGGCTGTGACACAGCCTGGGCTCGAACCCAGTGCTGTAGTGACATCTAAAGCACTGTGATGCAATGTCTTAGACCACTGCGCCACTCGGGAGGACCAATGTAAATTGTTATAAGTAGTCCTTGTAGATATGGTTTGTTAAACTTCTCAGTCTCAGCACAATTCTGTTACCATGGAATTGCCCATGTGCAGAAAGATAATCAGCCTCTGTGGATAATGTCCCCTTAATGTATTTTTCATGTCAGTCAGGCCCATCTAGTTGAGTAAAATAAATAGTTTTGTTCTGGTCACAAAGTCATCCAGAAAACTGCGGTAAACAGCGCCACACTCGGCAGAAAACGGAATGTTCTATTCACAACCAGGCCCATCTCTTCAAATAAATCTATATTTGAGCAAAATAAGTAGTTTTGTTGTGATCACAAGAAAATCCTAACAATTCAGGTAAAGCGCGCCATAGCCATGTGGAAAAATCTGAATGTTCTATCATAAAGTGAGAACATAAAAGTTTCCCTGGCTGCTATATGGCTGTTACTTAGAAATACTATAACAGTAAATTAATAGATGTCATTCACTGATATAAACCTGTCTCCAATATAAATGCATAGTTTACAGAAACCCACCGCGGACCTTGGACAAATAAATCTCAGTGTGAAAAGGCATTCCATGGTTTGTTTTGTCAACAAGCTCATCCAGATGATCCCAATAAATGGTATGTTCTGTTACGAAATGTCTTGGACTAGTTGTTGTTTCCCAATTTACTACTCAAATATATTTTACTTATTAAATCAAAGACGAAATTAACTGCAATACACTGGTCTCAACTATATTAGCATAACTAAGGTACACAGAGCCCCGGCGGACCCATTGTAAAATGAGAGGCTTTTTTCGTACTGGTGCGTCAATCTAAATTACATTTTTAAAAATACGCATCAAAATCCTTCAGTTTGAACTACAGATATCTGTTGTTGTTTTTTTGCATTGGATGCATCTCAATCCACCGCATCTGAAACGGTACATGTTTTAAAAAATGAAAGGAAGCAAGAAAAGGGGTTAAATATGTGTAAAAAATGTATATTTCCTGAGTTTTTTTTTATATCTCCTAGATTTAGGACAGACACTTCAAAACCTTGTTTCTTATGATTTATTTTTTGACTGTCCTTTTTGCCATTTATGCATTTGTTATTCAATGCGTTTCTATGTGCTTTAGTAGTAAAGGCCAAAATCAATATTTTATCAAATAATTGTATTATATATATTTTTTTATACCTAAAGGGGCCCTAAAATTCCAAATCAAATAGCTAAATAATCCATAGTATGACCATCTTTAAAAAACATGCCATATGTCAGCTCCTCCCCCAACGTCTTAGACTCTAAAGAATTAAAACGTGTCCAGTGCAATATGCCTAGCTATGGGGCGTGGCTTACGGAGCGCTCTTTGAAATAAATGCTTGTATTGTCTTCACAATACCAACGTCTCGAGTTATATCATCACACCGGTTCTGTTGCATTGACTATGCCATTAAAAACGGAATCATGCAAATAATATATATGAGGTCTATGTGGGTAAAGCCTCTATTAGTTTTAGGAAGTATTTTATTCCTCAGCTTTATATCAGTGATTTTGAGGAATGGAATGGACAAAAAGACAGATGAGAGGCCTACTGAGGCCAAAACTATTGACATTGTTAGAAGATTTTCTGACTTGGAAAGCAACATCAACAAAGTCTGTGAGTAAGTCAGCTTTCTTGAATGTTAATTCAATTCAAGATGTGTCTTTTGGATAAAGTATAAATTCATAAGGAAAAATTATAGGCTACATGGATTTGTTTTTGTAACACTTTATAGGGAACACATGACACTGGCTTTATTTATATTCTAGAACTCTGCTGTGCGGACCCATAGGCCTACACGTGTTGGACTCTGATAAACTCTTTAGTTTCACATTGAGCCAGCATATACTAAGGGTGGGTTTGTAAATTCATCAGTTATTCTTCGCTCTGTCACTCAGACAAGTGCTCTGAAATCGGAGTAGATAGCCAGAGTGAATTTACGAAGGCACCCTAAATCTGTTTCTTGTGTAGCTTGCTCTATAAATACTAATACTTTATTTGTTTCGAGCGTTTGTTTCCCTATAGGTAGTAAATAATTTTTTCAAAATGTATATATTGCTGTTTTGCCAGTATTATAATTTACTGTGCCTACGCCTAATCTAGTGTCGAATAAATGTTTGTTTGGAAAGGTATTTCCGTAGGCTTTCTGTGCCACATGAAAAATGAGGTAATTTACCGTTGTCTCTACTCAGGAGTGAATCGTTGTTTCGGTGCACAGATTCATCGCAACATTCACGAGATAGAAGTGCTGTTTATTTCATTCAATTAATGGTTTCCTTTGTTCATATTTCCCGCGTTGTGTCATAGCTACGTTTTGTCTGTCATTCTGTTTGTGCGTAATAGGAGCGCGCATAGAAATAAGATACGTGGCCTGCGCGCCAGGCTTTGGAGTCTATTTATGAATGGCGATGTAATGATTAAGTAGAACTTGCCATGTAACAATGAATGTGGAAATTGACTTACGTCGTAGAGCCATCTTATTGGTTGTAATTGCCAATTGGATAATTGCGGTCCTGGGAGGGGCCAAGGGGCTTATATGTACCTAACATTGGATCTCCCAGACTTGTAAATACCTCAACCTACCAAACCTTCTGCTGATTTCCTATAATAATATAAATATATAATATGCCATTTAGCAGACACTTTTATCCAAAGCGACTTACAGTCATGCCCTTACGACTGCTACAAGGTCCCTATTTTACATTATCTTTATTTTGGCTAAAGATTAGGTTATTGTCCTAATATGGCTAATAAGACAAAATAAAGTCCTTATAAGATACTTATATACACACTTATTAACTAAGAATTAGTGACTAATATGTTTAGCCTACCATAAAATTGTGTAACCCCCAAAAATTGTGTAATCCCCCAAAACATGTTTTTTATTTTTATTTTTACTGAGCATGAAATAACTAATGAATTAACCATTATACATGTTTATAAATACCTTTTCTATATTATAAATGCTTAAATGTTTACAAATAACATAGGTAGGCCTATGAGGATGTCTGGTCAGAGTTCCTACCATGCAGTCGCTATAGTGAGTCTAAATACGCATTGCACAGTCTTTGCTGCTTTAAAGTTCAATCTAAAAAGGGTTTATATTCGATTTTCCACCCAACAGATCTACACAACCTACTCTGCATTTTGAAAGTGAAAAATTATTATAGAAAATGTTTTAAAAATAAATGTCTTGATTGTGTATGTCTTCACACCCCAGAGTTAATACTTGGTGGAAGTACCTGTCGCGGGCATTACAGTTGTGAATACAATTCTACCAACCTTGCACAACTCTTAGGGCAAAATATATCACAATACCTTTTATATAAATTACATACTTATTTATTAATAGTTTATCAATTATTTATGAATACATATTCATGAAAATTATTAGTGTCGCTGACTTTTTTGTTATATTAAAATACATGTTGGCTATTTAACTTATACATGTGAAAGAAAGTGTGACTGTGCTTTTAATATATATTGATTGGAAGACAACGCTATTATCTGTTCAGCACTGGCATATTAAATATGTGAATGAAGATATTTAGACTACTTTATACATTTTCACAAAGCAACTGTAAATGTGTAATAGAGAGCTATTTCTGTGTTTAAATTGGGATAAAACCTACTTTTTTTGTCTTTATCTCAGACGATTTGTTCAAAAACTTGGAACAAAAGCAGGATGCCATTCAGAAAATGCTTGTGGATGAAAGCGAGAGATTTAAAGACCAGAAAGTTGTGGCAGCTCCGGCCAATTCGCAGCCAGAGCAGAGAGAACAAGATGAACAGAAGCCCAAGCCCCAGCAGGAGGCGCCAAAGACTTCCCAACTGTTCCTCAACTCTCCATTGTTTCAGGGCTGGGGAGAGAATCTATCGGAGGAGGATCAGGAGGCGGCACAAGCTTTGTTTGAGAAATATGGCTACAATGTTTTCCTCAGCGATCGTCTGCCTCTCAACCGAGAGCTACCAGACACACGTGAATCCAAGTAAAGTAATGATTCTCTAACGCCGTTTTTTTCCAACCTTTTAATGTTTCTCTCGCTCACTCACCCTATCGCTTGTCTGTTGTTACATTCCTTCTTTCATGCACCATAACGATTATTCAGCTGTAAACCAGAAAGGAAGTACTGTATCATGGGATATGTACAGTATCTATGCCTTTGAATCTGTCTACAATGGTAACGAGATGTGGCTTCAGTATTGCATGTTACTGAACTTCAAGATCAAGACAGAATTTGTATTAAAGGAATACTTAAGGATTTTGGCAATGAAGCCCTTTATCTACTTCCCCAGAGTCGGATGAACTCATGGATACCATTGTTATGTCTCTGCATGCAGTTTGAAGGAAGTTGCTAACTAGTGCTAGTTAGCATTGGCTTGTGAATCTACCTCTAACTTCCTTCATGCTGGATGCAGAAACAAAAAAATGGTGTCCGTGAGTTCACCTGACTCTGGGGAAGTCGATCAAGGGCTTCATTGCCAAAATCCTGAAGTATCCCTTTAATATACCAATGAGGAGTGTAACTGATGGTTAGTTTGCTTCAACAGATGTTTGCAGAAGAAGTACCCCAAGGACCTGCCCAGTATTGCTGTGGTGTTGATCTACCTGGACGAGGCCCTGTCTATCATTAAACGAGCCATCCGCAGCATCATCGACCGAACCCCTGAACACCTGCTGAGAGAGATCATTCTGGTGGATGACCACAGCTCCAATGGTACGTCTCACCAAACTATACTGACAGCTTTTGTATGAGTACAGTGAGGGAAAAAAGTTTTTGATCCCCTGCTGATTTTGTACGTTTGCCCACTGGCAAAGACATGATCAGTCTATAATTTTAATGGTAGGTTTATTTGAACAGTGAGAGACAGAATACCAACAAAAAAATCCAGAAAAACGCATGTCAAAAATTGTATACATTGATTTGCATTTTAATGAGGGAAATAAGTATTTGACCCCTCTGCAAAACATGACTTAGTACTTGGTGGCAAAACCCTTGTTGGCAATCACAGAGGTCAGACGTTTCTTGTAGTTGGCCACCAGGTTTGCACACATCTCAGGAGGGATTTTGTCCCACTCCTCTTTGCAGATCTTCTCCAAGTCATTAAGGTTTCGAGGCTGACGTTTGGCAACTCGACCCTTCAGCTCCCTCCACAGATGTTCTATGGGATTAAGGTCTGGAGACTGGCTAGGCCACTCAGGACCTTAATGTGCTTCTTCTTGAGCCACTCCTTTGTTGCCTTGGCTGTGTGTTTTGGGTCATTTTCATGCTAGAATACCAATCCATGACCCATTTTCAATGCCCTGGCTGAGGGAAGGAGGTTCTCACCCAAGATTTGACGGTACATGGCGCCGTCCATCGTCCCTTTGATGCGGTGAAGTTGTCCTGTCCCCTTAGCAAAAAAACATCCCCAAAGCATAATGTTTCCACCTCCATGTTTGATGGTGTTCTTGGGGTCATAGGCAGCATTCCTCCTCCTCCAAACACGGCGAGTTGAGTTGATGCCAAAGAGCTCAATTTTGGTCTCATCTGACCACAACACTTTCACCCAGTTCTCCTCTGAATCATTCAGATGTTCATTGGCAAACTTCAGACAGGCCTGTATATGTGCTTTCTTGAGCAGGGGGACCTTGCGGGCGCTGCAGGATTTCAGTCCTTCACGGCGTTACCAATTGTTTTCTTGGTGACTATGGTCCCAGCTGCCTTGAGATCATTGACAAGATCCTCCCGTGTAGTTCTGGGCTGATTCCTCACCGTTCTCATGATCATTGCAACTCCACGAGGTGAGATCTTGCATGGAGCCCCAGGCCGAGGGAGATTGACAGTTATTTTGTGTTTCTTCCATTCCATTTGCGAATAATCGCACCAACTGTTGTCACCTTCTCACCAAGCTGCTTGGCGATGGTCTTGTAGCCCATTCCAGCCTTGTGTAGGTCTACAATCTTGTCCCTGACATCCTTGGAGAGCTCTTTGGTCTTGGCCATGGTGGAGAGTTTGGGATCTGATTGATTGATTGCTTCTGTGGACCGGTGTCTTTTATACAGGTAACAAGCTGAGATTAGGAGCACTCCCTTTAAGAGTGTGCTCCTAATCTCAACTCGTTACCTGTATAACAGACACCTGGGAGACAGAAATCTTTCTGATTGAGAGGGGGTCAAATACTTATTTCCCTCATTAAAATGCAAATCAATTTATAACATTTTTGACATGCGTTTTTCTGGATTTTGTTGTTGTTATTCTGTTCAAATAAACCTACCATTAAAATTATAGACTGATCATTTCTTTGTCAGTGGGCAAACGTACAAAATCAGCAGGGGATCAAATACTAATTTCCTACCTTTTTAAAAAACCCAATCAGATGATCTGAAGGGGGACCTGGATGTCTATGTCAAATCCATTAAGGAGCAGAATCCTGGGCTTCGCATGGTCAGAGTGAGACACGTTGAATCACTGGGTTTAACTCAAGCTCGCATCTCTGGGTGGAGAGCTGCTACTGCGGATGTGGTTGCCATTCTAGACGCTCACATTGAGGTCCACAAGGAGTGGTAAGAGTATATAGGAATGTACAGTGTCTCTGAAATAGCTACTGTGCCAGTAGTTGCCGTATTGCACATCAAGTTAAATATCTGTGAAACTTGTCCCTCACCTTGAACAGTTCAGCAGTCTTTGAACTATAGGAACAGGGCCAGTGAGTTGTTTTCCATCACTCTGCTGTCTGTGCTTGCAGGGCGGAGCCTCTGTTGACTCGTATCAAGGCAGACCGGACAGTGGTGGTGTCCCCTGTGTTTGACAGGGTGAATTACTATGACCTGGAAGTTGTCCATTACGTCCCAGCGGCCCATGCTTTTGACTGGGCTCTGTGGTGTATGTATGAGTCCTTCAGGCCGGAGTGGTACCATCTCAACGACACGTCACTGCCAGGAAAGTATGTTGAGCAGGCAAATGGAATCACTCACACTGTCAGACCCACGTGTTTGTGGTTGTGTGTGGGGTGAGTATAGTGTTTATTTGAACTCTTTCTCTGTCATCAGGAGTCCCTCTATCATGGGAATCATGGTGGTAGACAGGAAATTCCTGGGAGAAATCGGTGCCCTCGATGGTGGAATGAAAGTGTATGGAGGGGAAAATGTTGAGCTAGGTGTGCGGGTGAGCAGCAACAATATTATGCACCATTCTTATTTTTACCAGATTCTGTGAACATCTCATATTTTTGATAACATTGTTTTCTGTGGTCATTAAATAGTACAATTGGCAATGTCCTCCACAAATAATAATACTTTTTCAGGTGTGGCTGTGTGGAGGAAGCATAGAGGTAGTGCCTTGTTCTAAGATCGCCCACATTGAGAGGAACCACAAGCCTTACGCACCTGACCTGAGCATCTCCATGAAGAGGAATGCACTGAGGGCAGCAGCGATCTGGATGGATGAGTACAAACATAATGTCAATCTTGCATGGAACATTCCCATTAAGGTATGAGCTTATGATAACGTACCGAATTATTATTATTATTATTATTATTATTATTTTTTTTTTTTTAAACACAAATTCTACCTTCATGAGACTCATAAAACCATTGAAGTTTTGCAAGCTTTTTATTTATTACATAATTTGATATGTTGATAATACAACAATTTTGCGGGATACAACAAATAATCCATAATCACACTCAACAATAGGATCATGGAATAGATATCGGTGATGTGTCAGAGAGAAGGGAGCTCAGAGAAAAGCTGAAATGTAAGCCCTTCAAGTGGTACCTGGACAATGTGTATCCTCAGTTGGACACATGGGACAACATCCTGGCCTATGGAGGGGTGCGTTTTTTACAATACTTTTGTGTGTGTGGTTTTAAACTGTAGTTTTTAAATTGTAGGTTTGAATACCTGTCTATTTATCCAGATTATGAGCACATTTGATAAAGTATGTCATCCCTTGCTTAATATTTGTCTCTCCTACTTGTAGATGAAGAACTTGGATGCAAACATATGTATAGATCAAGGAATTTATCCTGGTCATACACCCATAGCCTTCGACTGCTTCAACTATGGCCCACAGGTAACTCCTTACAATCCTGTCTCTTACTGTTGCAGTTAACTAACTTTGCTCTGTATTCAAGGGAAGATCTAACGCCCCATCTTTATTTGTTTGATTGTTCAGCACACCTACTACCACAGTAATGGGGAGCTTTACATTGGTGGCCTAAAGTCCCACAAGTACAATGACAACAGGTGTTTGGCTGACAGTGGGGAAGACACTGTTCCTGATCTGTACGACTGTAACGAGGCTGTGCAGAAGGGCATGGGCATTCACTGGGACTTTACGCAGGTGCAGATCACCGTAGACACTCAACTCAATATACTCCTAATACAGTATAGGCAGTTCTTTCCTATACTGTATACACCCCTAAATTATTTCCTTTTTGCCAAAGAGGTCCACTGTTGAAAAGCATTAAAATATGTATCTTTTTCCAGGGCAAAGAACTCAAGAACAGACAAACAAAAAGATGTTTAGAAATACAGAAACAGAAACTTGTGGTTGAGAAATGCACTGGCCAAAAATGGGAAATCCAAAACATCATCAAGCCCTTCTAATGGACCAGCATAAAGGAGATTCATGTTTGCCTCAAGACTAAACCACATTTTATGTATTTTTGTTTTTTTTATATTCTGTTCTATGGGTCACTGGACTACCAACCTAAATGTGGCATATACCTATGCATTGCTATAACACAACGGTGCTTATTTAATTTTGTTGAAATGGAGATGTGCTTTTCTGTCCTTGATTTGCAGTGTCATAAATAAGAGAAGTTGTAAAAAAATATTGTTGCAGTCAAAATGTCTGTCTTTCTGTCTGTCTGCAAGACTGACCAATCCATGCATGCGAAAAAATACCTATACTGCTATGTTCATAACCAAGTGGGAAGATGGTATTTACCACATACATTTTAGTCATTTAGCAGATGTTTCTATCCAGAGCGCCTTACATGCACAATTAGGGTTAAGTGCCTGTGAAAATGTCACTTGAACGCCCCTCCAACTGGTAATTACTAGTGGGAAACTAGTCTATCATCCCTGAGCGCCCACTTCACCCACATGCTGACCTCACCTACTTAGGAAATTACCTCTAGCAGAATTTTCGGCAGTTAAATGCAGCAAAACATTATTTATAGAAAGCTATCGATGTTTTTTTAATACTACAATTTGTTCACTAGCATGATAACTGCACTTTTAGTTCATGGTAGACACAGCTTGTTGGCCATTTGTCAATCGGCTTTTCTCAACGAGTTCAAAGCACTTGAATGCATTCAACATGTAATTACCACCTTCCCACTTGGTTATGAACAGCAGCATAGGTATCCGAACGTCAGGTATCTTAGCAACGATGTGTTTGCAGAGTGCATTTGCCCTTGGTCATTTGATTCTCACCACAGCGAGACAGTAAGGGAAGATAGGAAAATGTACAATGCTGAATTACTTTCGGGCCGCATTGCTGCGGCTAGTTTGGAAAGGAGGCGTAATAGAGAGATGCAACGTCAAGATAGGATTTTCAATGCTAAAGTTAGAACGATTGGGGTAAGTTTCTGTCTTCTCCAGCAGTTGGCGTTTAGTTTTTTCGCTCACCAAGCTAGAAGTTTTTGTATGGTCATGAGTGTCGAATTTGGTCAACAAAAAATGTTATGCCTTATTTGCTACGTGAGGCTTATATGATAGAATATACGTGTTTTAATACTTACAATAGGTTGTCACGAGTATACTGACGTAAGTAGGACAGGTGACATCCCAGCAACTTTGAGAAAAAAACTATATCGGAGTTGTTCACACGCGTATCTGCCCTCTCATTGGCTAGAATGTTCCCACCTGATCCTCCCGACTGCCTACCATTTTTGAAGACTTATTTTCATTGTTACAGCGACCACTTGAGTATCTGGGGCCTGTTGCACAAAACTAGGATAAGGGATTAAGCCAGGATATCTTGGTGATCCTGGCTCAATTGATCCGTAATCCGGTTGCACTAAAGATGGATAGGGGGCAGGAGGATATGTTATGGTATAAATTACCATGGAGATTTATTCTGTGGAGCTAGCCTGCTCCAGACCAGGCTAAATTCCAGGATCTATTTAATCTCATCCCTAATGTCAGTCAGCAGTCACCACAAATGGAAACCAATAGTTATTTCACTGCTCACTATACATTGTTATCACATATAACTAGACCCACTGTCATTATTTAAACGTTTGTGATCATTAATTTCAATGATTTTGGATAAAAAATGATTTTTAGATGATGTTGCTATCATTAGATAATTTACAGTTTCCCATAGACTATAAGGCTATATATAAAATGATAGAATATTAGGGCCACAGAGGGGAAAAAAACACAAGTCATAATATTGTAACCAGTTGTTTTAAAGGAGGACAGTTGTTAAAATGACAGATGTGGGGCATTTCGTGAAATTGTACTTCAGTATGGTTTCATAAACAAAGACATGCTGATGTGCCAGAATATTAAGTATCACATTGTCATAAGTATCAAAACTGTAAAAACAATATGTAGCTTTTCTGCAGAAAGAACCAGCCTCATAAATTTATGACTTTATCCTTTTTCTTCAGTGTGGCCCTAGTACTCTGTCATATAAACAAATACACATTCCATATGAATATAAAAACACAATGTGCAACATTATGTTCCTTTATTGAATAAGGACAAAACAAAGCAGGTAAACCATCAGCTCCTTTCGAAACTGAAGTCACAGTGACTCTACAAGATGGAAAGCACAGAATCCAAGCATATTATACAAAATGATACATACACATTCAAAGGTCTGTATATAACACACCCTGCATGTCTGCACACTAAAATAAATGCAGGACAAATCCATACACATCAACTGAACAGACAAATGAATGGATGCAGTAGCCTCCCTGCAGCCTTGTATTACACACAGTATACCGCACAAGCATCATAAGAGGCCAAATTCGTAAAAAAACGAACCCAAAAAAACCCAAATTCCTCTGCCACCGCAGGACATATTTAACCAAAATTGAAAGCACACATACTAACTAAAATAATTCAACACATATTGGTCCCTCAGCAGCCGACCACTGTCGTCATCAGGGAAGATTGCCGGATTGTCCCAGTCCATGGCTGGTGGCACTCTGGGGGCCCTCTCCTTCCTCAGGCAGGCCACATTGTGGAGGACAGCACAAGCCACAGTAATATCACATGCCCTAACAGGGCTGACCCTTAATTTGTGAAGGCAGTGAAAGCGTGCCTTCAGGAGGCCAAAGGTCATTTCAACTCTGGCCCTGGTCCTGGCATGGGCATGGTTGTAGGCCTGCTGTGCTTCCTGGGGGTCTGTGAAAGGTGTCAGGAGAAAAGGCTGGCAGCCATACCCCCTGTCTCCCAGCAACACACCAGAGAATTCACCTGTCAACACAAAATCTCATCATTACTACCTCATAAACACAGTGATATTCTTGACACAGCCATGATGGTTATAAATAGGGGTTGTGTGGCTTACCTTGTGATAGGCACTGATAGATTTCAGAGGCCCGAAAGATTCTGGAGTCATGGACTGAGCCAGGCCATTTTGCCACAACATTGCTGATCACACAGTCAGCATTGCAGACCATCTGAAATCATAAGATGAGGAATATTACACCAATCAATGCACATCACTGGCAATGCAGAGTGTTCGTCAATGGACAATATCAAAAAGTTATGTTCACCTGAACATTAATGCTGTGAAAGGATTTCCTATTCACAAAATCGGCCTCATGGGCACCTGAGGGGGCTTTTATCCTTATGTGTGTGCAGTCCACTGCACCAATGACATTGGGGAAACCTGTCACACAAAGTAATGAGTATCCTACTATGTGTTAACAGTTGTCCTGTAATTTGTAGATCCTCTTACCTGCAATCCTATAGAACTCCTCTTTGATGTCACAGAGTCTTCTGTGGCCAGGGAAGGAGATGAAGACATCTGCTAATGCTTTGATAGCCAGACACACACTCCTTATTGTGCGGCAAATTGTGGCCTTGTTCAGCTGTTCTGCATCCCCCACTGAGTACAGGAAGGCTCCACTAGCAAAAAAGCGCAAGGCCACACAAACCATTTGCTCCACACTCAGTGCATGGCTCCGTGCAGTGCGGTGCTTAATCCTGGGACCCAGTAGTCTGCATAGATACCTGATGCCATCTGCAGAAAACCTGTATCTTTCATATAGATGGTCATCAGGGAAGGCCAGTGGGTCCAACCGGTCCCTGAAGACCCTTTCTCGCCTGAAGGCTCTCCTCAGCACAAGTGCTTCTTCATCCACCACATCTCGCACGAATGGGCATGCCATTGTCAGAGCAGAAAGGAACACACAATTTTGGGCCTTCATATAGGCTAGTGGCCACACCTGGTGCTGGGGGGGTGGGCAAAAGAGGGCGATGCCTTATAACGATGACTTGGTTGTACTGATTGCTGGGAAAATAAAAAAAACCTTAGAAAGATGCCACCGTCCTGTGTGCTCACAATAAGAGCTCATATGTCATGGCTCACTTGACTTTACGAGAATATACCTAATTTTTATTTTGAGCTGTGTCATCTTCTTGGAGCTGGGGGAGGAAAGAAAAATAATGATTAATACATTTGTGTTACAGTTAGCATACAGTGTACATTGAAGGCATATCTCACCTCCCTCTCAAGTTTTTTTATTTCAAGGTCCAGTTTCCTAATTGTCCTCTTTTTTATTTCGGACTCCAGTGCAAGATTTTCCATCTTTTTCTTCTTGTACTGAATGTCTATGTCTGCCAGTTCTATTTGGCGCCGGAGGTGGTTGCCATACAACTTTCTGATAGCTTGTGAGCTCTGTGAACACAATACAATTAGCGCAGCTGGAATTTGGCAGGATGTGGTGTCCTTTTATTAATACGCACTATGTTGCCAGGCTGGTTTTCCCACTGTATAGCATCTGGGTCCTGTAAAAGAAATTAGATTTTTTGATTTTGATGAGGACTCCTCACCATTGTAGAGTAAATAGTACTTTCACAGTCTTAACATGATACCTCATGCCTTCTGGAATCCAGAGAGATGGTCTCCTCCTCATCATCGTCTCCATCATGTGCTGTTGCTGCTGCACTGGGGCCTTCACCCTATCACATTTAATCGGATTCATATTGAAGCTAGTAGACAAGACATGCCAGGCCTACAGTATGCCTTTGATGGAGTACTCACTGGATCAGCATCGTCTGGTGCTTGTGCTGGTGGCTCTAACAGGAACACAGTGCTGCCAGACACTGCAAGGCAATAGGTAAACCAAAGTCAGACAGTCCAAATTGATTCAATATGAATGTGGTTGTATCCCATGTAGAGATGGAAGGACATACCTTGAATGAAGCGGGTGGCATCTTGGGAGGAACCTATGCTCGTCTCTTTCCCCCCAGGGATCCCCTCTAAGACGGGCCTGCCTTTATTTAGCTCCAAGGCCATGTCCTCTGCTGGGGTAAGGTCAGCCTTTGGTGACCCACCACCCGTGCCTTGTCTGTGGGTATTCTTTTTCACTGCTAAAACAGTACAGACAATGTGTGAGCAGGCACCTTCTGGGTACAATATATGCTTGTGCTTTGTTAAATATTAGTCAGGGACCATACCATTCTGCAGAATGTTCTTGTATTTGATTTTGACCTGCTGCCATGTCCGTTTTGGCCCGTTCATGTTTAATCTACACACACACACACACACACACACACACACACACACACACACACACATTTAATGGAGTCACACTGCAAAAAATTACTTGGTATTTTTGTCTTGTTTTCAGTAAAAATATCAAAAAATTTATCATAGCTTTATACAGTGTGATGGAGTTACTTTACACTATTTCACTCATATCTGCAGTGCATTTCAATTAAAAATTTAACCGTTTCATAATTACAGTACAACTGCATTTTTGGAGATGTGAATTAAATATTTGAATTGTAATTGTGATGTTTCAGCGGAGCGGTGAGTGTGTAATTGTGCACTACTTACGCATTCAGGCGGTCTGCAATACTTTGCCACGCTTTTTCTCTTTGCTTTATCACTGTGGCGGTGTTGCCTTTCTTCTTAATTATATCTTTTACCTCCTCGTATGCCTCCATGAGGATTTGTGCTTCCGACGGGGAAAAGTACGCGGCTCTAGTTGCCATGGTAAATCAGTTAATCTGTGATCTGTGGCGGGGTCTATTTGAGTGAGCCGTGAGCGCGCACCTATCCAGGATTGGTTTCACCTGGCTTAATGAATCCGTGTCTGCTCATCCTGGCTTGGTCTTTGTGCAACCAATTAAGCCTGGACGCACATGTTTTGGCTTCATTGAGCTCAGCTGAGTCATTTATCCCGGATGTCTTAATTCTACTTTTGTGCAACAGGCCCCTGGTCTGGTCAATATAATGCTTAATCTGTGTTGCAACTGTGTAACCGGTTGTAACATCACTGTAGCTCAGCTGGTAGAGCATGGCGCTTGCAACGCCAGGGTTGTGGGTTCGATTCCCACAGGGGGCCAGTATGAAAAAAGGTATGCACTCACTAAAACTAAGTCGTTCTGGATCAGAGCGTCTGCTAAATGACTAAAATGTAATGTTAATTCAGTTTTGAAGACATGTCACACTTTTCTGTTCCTGACAGATAGATAAAGTGGCTCTTGATTCCCAAGTGAATGAAAGAAAGAAAAAAGAACAGGCAGAGGCAGAGTCACTTAAAGCATATGGTAAGTGCAAAAAAAATACAGCATGGGAGTCCTGACAGCTCTATATAAGCTTCCATGCATACAGTAAGCTTCAATGCAACTCTGATATATTAAGGTTTTATTGATCCAATAAGTTTAGTAGCTAGCTAGTGTCATATGTCCCGTGTAGCTCAGTTGGTAGAGCATGGTGCTTGCAACGCCAGGGTTGTGGGTTCGATACCCATGGGGGACTAGTAGGGGAAAAAAAGTATGAAAATGTAAGTCGCTCTGGAGAAGTGTCTGCTAAATGACGTAAATGTAAATATGTCTCTGGAATGCATGTGCTCTAGCTGCAGATGCATTGCGCAACGACAAGGCTGCTTGTCTACTTGATCAACGCCAACTGAAGGATGAGCGTCTGCTGCAGGGAGCCATAGAGGACTTCAGACTGAACTTCCAGCCGCGGTGGAGTCGGCGAGAGTATGACTTGAGCAACCCGGACAAAATTAGGGATCAGGAGGGGATCCAGATGCTGCCGGGGCTGGTGGGTGAGGACCCAGACAGCCAGGGGAGGCTGAAGAATCAGCAGGAGCAGCTCAGAGAGTGGTCCGTCCAGCAGCAGCATGAGCTGGCCACAGCACGACACCAGCAGAGACAGGAAGGTAGGCTACAACCCAACCCAACACAACCTGTCCTGTTGCTAGACTCTGATACACTCACTGCCTCCTCTCAAAACACACTCTGTACCTGCAGAGCAGCAGTATGACCAGGACAGAGTGGACCTGGACAACAAAGCTCTCCAGCTCCAAAAAATCGAGGAGGAGAGGAGGAGAGCCATAGCCCTGGCTACAAAGAATTTCAATCTGACAAAGGTGAGTCATTATTCTTTACCTGATGCTTAACCAGGTGTGGTTGTCAAACTGGCAAAGGTGAGTCATTAGGATTGATGGCACTGAATCTAACCAGGTGTGATTTGTATGTGGGGGAACAGAAGGTCATTCTGTCAACTGTGTGATATTTTCTCTGTCTGTTCCCAGGCAGCAGAGAATGCAGAGAAGCGGTGGAAGGAGTGGCAGCAGCAGGAGGAGGACAACAGGACAGACATCCTGAACCAGCTGCAGGGGGACCTGCTGAGTGAGAGCCAGGAGCAGGGCATCAGTGTGCTGGGTCTGTCCCGCCTCAGGCCCGACAGCTACAAGGGCCTCACGGACGAGCAGCTGCAGCACATCATTGACTGCCAGCAGCAACAGATAGAGGAGAATAGGGTACATCTACCTTGTTTACCTTGAGCAGAGATGTATTTATTGCAGTACATTGTGCTCTCTCTTCTAAAAGAGGACAAAAGGCGTAGATCGCAACACCCATAAATGGTGTTAACCTTCTCTTCATGTTTGGTGCAGAGAATTCAGGCTGAGCAGCAGCAGCAGGAGCTCCAGCAGGACCTGTTCCGTGTGGCCTCGGCTCGCACCGCCCTACTACTGGAGAGACGGCAGGCCCGCATCAACAAGCAGCTCCGTCGCACCCTGGATAACACCAACGCACAGCTGGCTGAGGCCCACCAGGAACAGTAAGACGCTTTCCATATGTTAAGGTTTAGACACATGGATGCACCTGTATACCTTTTGCTTTGTTTGATGTTGCACTGTCAGGCTTCATTACTGTACAGTATGATTGTTTGTCACATTTTCTTTTGTAACACTTCTGTGCTCAGAAATAATTAAATTGTGCAGAAGAAACTGATCAACAGGATTCGAACAGTTAATGGACACATGATCAACTAGGAGCTCAATTCAATCCGTATCCCGCGTTATCGCTCGATTGAAATTTAAAGGCAATGTTCACAGAGACTGCATTCACAGTAAACACTGCATATGTCGGCTCAATCGCAAATTACCTTTACATTTTAACGCTGATCTTCTGCAATACGGATTGACTCCAGCCCTAGAGCTTGTTGACCTGCCCATAGCACTGCATAGACGACATATCAAATGCCTACAGTTTTGTTCTTGATATCAGTTATAGACAAATGCATTCCTCTCTTCTCAGGAAAAAGTATCTGGAGAAGGTGTACACTAACATCCCAGATGACAGTTACTTCTCCCAGTTCAACACCAGCAGTCGATAAAGGATGACAAGGCCTTACGATGCCGTGCATTATTAGACTATTATGGAGAAATACGTTTCTTGTGTGAAAATGTAGATAATACATTATTTGTAATAAAGGGAAAAACTAATGAATCTGATCTTCATAGAAAAGTGTGGCCATGAATAAGGCATTGCCTACTGTTCTGCATGTATTTGTCATACCATGTCCCTTGTTAAAATAAGAGTATCTGTATAATGAATTAATTAAATCTGTACAAAACAATTCTCCATTAAAACAACATTATTAGCTTAAAATGTGATTAAAGAAATCGAAGACTAGCGGGTCAGTTCATTCAGTGTAAGCATTTTCACACAGTGCTCTATTGCCATGTAGAGCCTCACTGAATTCACGATTAACGTGCAAATACATAAAATAATGATAAAATGCCTTTGTGTGAAAAAACAGCTTCCTTTATGACTCCTTGACTAGTGAACTCAACTTCTGTCAGGGGCCTCCATTTTGTGGGAGCTGACAGCGGTGTAGTCTGCTAATTGATTTCTTACAGGAGTGTTATACACACCCTATCCACTTGAGGGCGATATGAGCTTGTTCTCTTTCCTTCTCAAACCTAATTTGCCAAACAGTCTACAGCTCCGTCTACAACAAATAATGTTTCAATAACTACTACATCTTTTCCCTTGTCCGAATTTTGAACAACATTTCTACTTGTGTGTCCATTTGGGACCAGCATTCCAAATATCCTTCCCTTCCTATGGCTACAAGCAACAGTCTCACAGACTGGGGTGATCCCACTGTCCCAGTCAGCGTCCGAATGACCACTCCTCTGCCCCAGACTCTGCTCCAGCAGGTCTCTATTGTGAGTTCTCTGAGACAAACTTGTCCCATTTTCTCTGCCACAAATCCAAGGCTTTCTCCTTCAGCTGTGGCGACAGAGAGCTGTACCTGGAACATGAAAAAATAGAAAGTCAGAATCCTTACCCTATCATGCCATGGCATAAACGGTTGCAAGTAGCTAAACTAGTCCAGGTTATTGTACGGTGCCTGGACCTGCTAGCTTGACCTCACCTGATGGAGTTCATGGCCAGTTCCTTGAGAGTACCTATGTGAGAGTTCATTCCACCTAAACCCACAAACGCCTCGTAAAAATCATGGGAGAGGCCAGAAGATCCAAACATGGCAGGGTCATCTGAACTGATCACCAGGGGATGGCCCTCTGACATCAGAACAGCAGCTGGGTGATTCCGCAGGTCTGAGACCAGTTTCAGTACCTGGAGAAGGATGTTAAAATGAAGAGTTTCAATGAAGATGCAGATACGACCAACCCCAAATCGACCCCCTTACCTCTATCTGTGGTTGGGCAGCAGTCTTAATCGTTCATCAACATGTGAGTGTGGTGACAGTGATAATGCCCTACCTGGTTGGAGATGGGGCACACCTCCACAGCCACCCCTTTCTTCTTAGAGAGTGCCTTGGCCACCGGGTGGCGCAGCAGGGCAAAGCCGTGGCCGATGCGAGACGTGTTGAACAGTAGAGCATCCAGCAGGTTCCCATCCACATCAGTGCCCTCTTCATCTGCAAATGACAGTGAGGTCAATCAATGATGCCATCAATGTAGATTGTAGTAATCACTTATCTGTACTGTACAAACTTCATTCTCAACAACACAAAATAGGGAGTATTGGCTTATACTGTAACAGTCTTATTGCATCAGGGTTAGTGCTATCTGGGATCCCTGGGACGTCCCTACCCTAACCAGGGCCAGATTAAGAAATCATAGGCCCCGGGGCTTCATTTTTTAATAGGCCCATTCCATGAGTATAGACTAAATATGAACACTTCAGATGAGGTGGAAGGGTTCATGTGCTCACCAGTCTCTCCTGCGTGGAAGAAGAAGGGAAGGTTGACTCCTCTCTCGCCTGGCAGAGACAAGGCCTCCTTGAAGTACCAGAGGGGTCTTCCACTATCTTCCCGACCCACCTAGTACCAGAAGAGAACATCAGACATGTCAACATCACCCGGCACAGCCTATACCTATTTATTAATAAACCTATCTAGTAATAAAAGTAATAAATACATTTTAGGTAATTTCCTAAGAGAAATTAGACAGTTTTGAGGAGTCTTGTGACTAAGGATCTACCTACCAGGTCAAATCCAGCCATGATCTCTGGAAAGGCTTTCTGTAGGTTCATAGCCTCCTCCACTGCCTTCCATGCCATGGACGCATTCAGACCCCTGAGACAAACACAGATTCACAAAGTACATTCAATCTCAACATTAATATGAGATGTTTTGTTCTGCCCATTCTTCCTTTAATTCTGTATCTTTTTTAAATAAACAAATCCTTGTACAACTTTTAGAGGGCCCATGATTCTAATTCCATCTTTACACGGATCATGTGCATCTCCTGCATAGTCACCTGTGCACAGTGAAGATGACCCGAGCTCCCAGGAAGTCTGGGTGTTCTGACACAAACTGCCTGGTCACGTCCTGATAGGTCTTGAGGCCCCAGGCACTGTCATGTGTGCTCCCATCCAGCTCGTATGTCTGTGCATCAGTAACAAACATGTAAGAATTACACAGCCTCTTATGTATAGACAATACATCTTGGTTACACCTTGAAAATGACAGGTCAACTCAATGTATTGTGTGTGGAATGATCTTAACAACTTTATCAATCACACAACTGAACTCATATCACATGGAACAATAAACATGTATCTGTATGTGTTGTTTACCTGTGGAAGCAAAGCCCTCAGCTCCAGATACATGATACTATCCATGTAGAACTGCCTCAGGCCCTCATAGTAATAGTCCTTGAACACAGGAGCGTAGGTGACTAGTCCCCAAGCCGAAATGAACGCCTGCTCAAACCTCTTCCAAACAACGTCTTGGCTGGGATAGGCAGCCTCTGGGTCCTCAGTGAAGAGTGTAAGGTTGCGGATGAGGCTGCACAGATTAAACGACCAGGTTGTTGGAGAGTGCATACAATTTGAAAGATATGAGTCAAATAGAAAATCTAATTTTGTCTGTATTCCCCCAGGGAGATACTTGTGTGATTAGACATGGTATGACCATGACATATAAATGACATAACATATATAATTACATTTAATGACATATACATATTTATGTCATTTGACATATTGAATGACATATAGTGCCTTTGGAAAGTATTCAGACCCCTTCACTTTTTCCACATTTTGTTACGTTACAGCCTTATTCTAAAATGGATTAAATAACAAAAAAATCCTCAGCAATCTACACACAATACCCAGTAATGGCAAAGCGAAAGCGGATTTTTAGACATTTTCGAACAAATTATTAAAAATAAAAAACAGAAATACCTTATTTACATAAGTATTCAGACCCTTTGCTATGAGACTCGAAATTGAGCTCTGGTGCATCCTGTTTCCATTGATCATCCTTGAGATGTCTCTACAACTTGATTGGAGTCCACCTGTGGTAAATTCAATTGATTGGACATGATTTGGAAAGGCACACACCTGTCTATATAAGGTCCCACAGTTGACAGTGCATGTCAGAGCAAAAACCAAGCCATGAGGTCAAAGGAATTGTCCGTAGTGCTCCAAGACAGGATTGTGTTGAGGCACAGATCTGGGGAACGGTACCAAAACATTTCTGCAGCAATGAAGGTCCCCAAGAACACAGAGGCCTCCATCATTCTTAAACTGAAGAAGTTTGGAACCACCAAGACTCTTCCTAGAGCTGGCCGCCTGGCCAAACTGAGCAATCGGGGGAGAAGGGCCTTGGTCGGGGGAGAAGGGCCTTGGTCAGGGGAGGTGACCAAGAACCCGATGGTCACTCTGACAGAGCTCTAGTTCATCTGTGGAGATTGGAGAACCTTCCAGAAGGACAACCATCTCTGCAGCACTCCACCAATCAGGCCTTTATGGTAGAGTGACCCGACAGAAATCACTCCTCAGTAAAAGACACATGACAGCCCGCTTGGAGTTTTCCAATAGGCACCTAAAGACTCTCAGACCATGAGAAACAAGATTCTCTGATCTGATGAAACCAAGACTGAACTCTTTGGCCTGAATGCAAAGCGTCACGTCTGGAGGAAACCTGGCACCATCCCTACGGTGAAGCTTGGTGGTGGCAGCATCATGCTGTGGAGATGTTTTTCAGCGGCAGGGACTGGGAGACTAGTCAGGATCAAGGGAAAGATGAACCGAGCAAAGTACAGAGAGATCCTTTCCTTAATTCATTTTAGAATAAGGCTGTAACCTAACAAAATGTGGAAAAAGTCAAGGGGTCTGAATACTTTCCGAATGCACTGTATATAATGACATATGTTCCTACTTCCTACCTGTTGTCAAGGTCAGTGGTATTGCCCATTTTGGCCCTCAGGGTCTCCAGCAGCATCCAAGAGGAGCACTGAGGTTTTGGTTTGGGCTGACTAAAGGAAAAGAGTAACCGAACTGACTGGTCCTCTGTAATGCACATGTAGCAATGTGGCCGGTATGTCACATTCCTCACCAGCCACTCCACTCCCACCATGGAGAAGTCATGGACATGAAGTGCTGCCCCTAAAACAGATCAGAGGAGGAGATCATCGTAACCTGTGTGGCACAAGAGGTTGGTGGCACCCTAATTGGGGAGAATGGGCTCGTGGTAATGATTGGAGCGGAATCAGTGGAATGGTATCAAATACGTCAAACACATGGTTTCCAGGTGTTTGATGCCATGACATTTGCGCCGTTCTGGCCATTATTATGAGCCGTTCCACTGCTGTGTGGCTTACAATGAAGTACATTATATCTGTGCCATATTTGCTTACATGTATCCTCTCAGTTTATCACAAATGCAAAGGGAACGGGGGTAGGGTCCATTTGGGATCTGGTGTACCTTTGGGCATCCTCTGCAGTAGGCTATAGATGAGGCTGCGCTGGATGAGTGGCTTCGCCTTGAAGAAGTGCAAGGCAGGAGGGAAGTCCGAGCTCTTCATCTCCTGCTCCTTCAGTTTGTGCAGCTGTGCACTTAGCCGCAGCTCTGCCTCTGTCAGCAGCAGTCTGCCCCCTGTCTGCCGGGAGGCCTCCTGCTGCATCAGAGACTCTCTGAGCCTGGGGTCAGGGCTGCACCAGCACAGGGTCAACCAGCACAGCAGGACTGACACCACAGCCACCTGGTGGCTCTCTGGCCAGAGCAACATGGTCAAGGTGTGGCTAATCAATGTTGGTCAACACTGAATAGATAGGCTTGAAGGAGAAAGAAAAATGTGATAAGACAAACTCATCTAGTGGGAAAATAGGTTCAACAGAGCTTGGTGTTTAGTGTAAGCCTACCGCACCTGTTTACAGAACATTGAATAGAAAACAATGATCTTTCCACTTCCTCATTTTTTCTTTTTTATTCTTGCTTCCTCATAACATTTAGTTTCTCTTGAAACAAACAAGAAGTGTCCAGTTCAACCAATAGCTTAAGAGGTCTATTTCCCATAAGTGATATTTCCCATATTCCCTATGAATATTATTTAATATGTATATTTAGAGGAGAGGGTCTTCAGGATGTCATACTGACAGGCTGCATTTAGATCTGAATTTGATACATAAATGCAAAATGTATTTATTTAATATAGTTTTGAGCGCAATTGCAGGCATTATCTGTCAGTAGGCTAGCCTAGTGCACCAGGGTGGTGGACGTGGACAAAGAGCGTAGCACCACCACCAGCTGTCGGTGTCAACAAACCGCTTTGTGCTTCACGGATTATGTTGTTGACTTGTTGTGAATACGGTTGATGCCTAATAGTGTTTATGTTAGTTTACGGTTATGATCAACATATTTAAACGAATACAGACTTTTTTTTATAAACATGACATATTGACTGCTTCAGCCGGTCGCCTATTACGTTGTTCAGTTTAAAGGGCTTCGCGATGGTTTGAAGCGTTGGCGATTTCAATGTATCTACAATGTAACAACAATGTAACTAACAACAATGTAACATTTGGTAAACGTTTAAGTGGTGTGCCTCGAGCTTGCAATTCTAAAGTGTAATAAAGTAACAGCTGCACGTTCACACTGAACGCTGGATACATTGATAATAGCCTACATGTTTTGTCAGTGTTGCTGAACATTAATTATTATTAGAACGAGTATCTCACCACTGAACAAACCTGTCCGTGAAAGTGAAGTGATGAATGGGTTATCCTATATTGCTCTATAACAACAACAACTGTTACAATGGCTGTTTTTCAGTTACGTAGCCTGCAAGTCTACTGCCGCGTTCATGTTCTAGTCGGAACTAGGAAACTCGAAAATGTCCGACTTGCTAACAGGATGAACGCGGCACCAGTTAGCAAGTCTGACATTTCCGAGTAGTACATGAACACAGCATTACTCTTACTCACTTACTAAAACAGTGGTAGACGTCATATCCCCAGTTGTTGACTTGGGATGGAAGAAGTGCAGGAGCTGCATTTTTTCCATGTCGGTCAATTAGACTATGTTCACCGATATTCACAAATTACATTATGCTATAGAGACTTCTGATTATTCAATGTTAACGGTTTATATACATTTTCCATGACTTCTCCATGACTTTTAACCACATTTTCATGACTATTATTATAGCCTACATGAAAAAGTAAGCATTATTCAAATCAAATCAAATTGTATTTGTCACATGCGCCGAATACAACAGGTGTAGACCTTACAGTGAAATGCTTACAAGCCCTTAACCAACAATGCAGTTTTAAGAAAAATAAGTGTTAAGTAAAAAATAGATAAGTAAAAAAAAATACACCTTAATTTTTTGTGGTTTAGTGGTTAAGAGCCTTGTGCCAGTAAACGAAAGGTTGCTGGTTCTAATCCCTGAGCCGACTAGTTGACAAATCTGTCGATGTGCCCTTGAGCAAGGCACTTAACCCTAATTGCTCCTGTAAGTCGCTCTGGATAAGAGCGTCTGCTAAATGACTAAAATGTAATAATAAACAGAGAGGAGCAGCAGCGTAAAAGAGGGGGGTGGGGTGGGGTGGGCAATGCAAATAGTCTGGGTAGCCATCATTAGCTGTTCAGGAGTCTTATGGCTTGGGGGTAGAAGCTGTTGAGAAGCCTTTTGGACCTAGACTGCAACCAGTCAGGATGCTCTCGATGGTGCAGCTGTATAACATTTTGAGGATCTGAGGACCCATGCCAAATCTTTTCAGTCTCCTGAGGGGGAATAGGCTTTGTCGTGCCCGCTTCACAACTGTCTTGGTGTGTTTGGAACATGATAGCTTGTTGGTGATGTGGACACCAAGGAACTTGAAGCTCTCAACCTGCTCCACTACAGCCCTGTCGATGAGAATGGGGGCGTGCTCAGTCCTTCTTTTCCTGTAGTCCACAATCACCTCCTTTGTCTTGATCACATTGAGGGAGAGGTTGTTATCCTGGCACCACACGGCCAGGTCTCTGACCTCCCTATACGCTGTCTCATCGTTGTCGGTGATCAGGCCTACCACTGTTGTATCGTCGGCAAACTTAATGATGGTGTTGGAGTCGTGCCTGGCCATGCAGTCATGGGTGAACAGGGAGTACAGGAGGGGACTGAGCACGCACCCCTGATGGGCCCCCGTGTTGAGTATCAGTGACAGATGTGTTGTTACCTACCCTTACCACCTGGGGGCGGCCCATCAGCAAGTCCAGGATCCAGTTGCAGAGGGAGGTGTTTAGTCCCATGGTCCTTAGCTTAGTGATGAGCTTTGAGGGCACTATGGTGTTGAACTCTGAGCTGTAGTCAATTAATAGCATTCTCACGTAGGTGTTCCTTTTGTCCAGGTGGGAAAAGGCAGTGTGGAGTGCAATAGAGATTGCATCATCTGTGGGATCATCTGTGAGTCCCGTGTAGCTCAGTTGGTAGAGCATGGCGATTGCAACGCCAGGGTTGTGGGTTCAATTCCCACAGGGGGCCAGTATGAAAAAAAAAAAAATGTATGCACTAACTGTAAGTCGCTCTGGATAAGAGCGTCTGCTAAATGACTAAAGTGAAAATGGATCTGTTGGGGCAGTATGCAAATTGAGTGGGTCTAGGGTTTCTCGGATAATGGTGTTGATGTGACACTGGAAAGCTGCTGTGTCTGATCCCATGTAGACCTCCTGCCATTGATCAAGGCACTTAGAACTGCACTGTTAGTCACAGGTTGTCAACATGTGGTCAACCCTCCATCTGGAGAGCTCCTGGGTGTGCAGGCTTGGATATTTCAACATTACAACCAAGTACTTTGGTCTTTATAAAATTATTCCATCATTCAATAAATCAGGGCTCAAATGGCTACTGTTTAATAAATAGGGGAATCCTAGCTTTCCAACGGGTGCAGATTTATTTAGGCTCTACAGTGCCAGTGGAAAGGCAACAAACTCGATAGAACTGCCAAAGGGGGTGGGGTTGCAATCTACTGTAGAGATAGCCTGCAGAGCTCTATCGTACTATCCAGGTCTGTGCCCAAACAGTTTGAGCTTCTACTTCTAAAAATCCACCTTTCCAGAAATAAGTCTCTCACTGTTGCCGCTTGCTACAGACCCCCCTCAGCCCCGAGCTGTGCTCTGGACACCATATGTGAACTGATTGCCCCCCATCTATCCTCAGAGTTCGTACTGCTTGGTGACCTAAACTGGGATATGCTTAACACCCCGGCCGTCCTACAATCTAAACTAGATGCCCTCAATCTCACAGAAATGATCAACAAACCTACCAGGTACAACCCTAAATCTGTAAATATGCGCACCCTCATAGATATCATCCTGACAAATTTACCCTCTAAATACACCTCCGCTGTCTTCAACCAGGATCTCATCGATCACTGCCTTATTGCCTGCGTCCGTAATGGGTCTGCGGTCAAACGACCACCCCTCATCACTGTCAAATGCTCCCTAAAACACTTCAGCGAGCAGGCCTTTCTAATTGACCTGGCCTGGGTATCCTGGATGGATATTGACCGGTGGAAATTTGTCCTTTGGTCTTGAGTCCAAATTTGCGATTTTTGGTTCCAACCGCCATGTCTTTGTGAGACGCGGTGTGGGTGAACGGATGATCTCTGCATGTGTATTTCCCACCGTAATGCATGGAGGAGGAGGTGTTATGGTGTGGGGGTGCTCTGCTGGTGACACTGTCTGTGATTTAATTAGAATTCAAGGCACACTTAACCAGCATGGCTACCACAGCATTCTGCAGCGATACGCGATCCAATCTGGTTTGGGCTTAATGGGACTATCATTTGTTTTTCAACAGGTCAATGACCCAACACACCTCCAGGCTGAGTGATGGAGTGCTGCATCAGATGACCTGGCCTCCACAATCCCCCGACCTGAACCAAATTGAGATGGTTTGGGATGAGTCGGACTGCATAGTGAAGGAAAAGCAGCTCAGCATATGTGGGAACTCCTTCAAGAATGTTGGAAAAGCATTCCAGGTGAAGCTCCCGAGTGGCGCAGTGGTCTAAGGCACTGCATCGCAGTGCTAGCTGTGCCACTAGAGATCCTGGTTCGAATCCAGGCTCTGTCCGGGAGACCCATGAGGTGGCGCACAATTGTCCCAGGGTAGGGGAGGGAATGGCCGGCAGTTGGTAGAGCATGGTGTTTGCAACGCCAGGGTTGTGGGTTCGATTCCCACGGGGGGCCAGTATGAAAAAAAAATATATAATAATGTATGCACTCAGTAACTGTAAGTCGCTCTGGATAAGAGCGTCTGCTAAATGACTAAAATGTAAGCTGGTTGAGAGAATGCCAAGAGTGTGCAAAGCTGTCATCAAGGTAGGGTGGCTACTTTGAAGAATCTCAAATATAAAATGTATTTTGATTTGTTTAACACTTTTTTGGTTACTAAATGATTCCATATGTGTTATTTCATAGTTTTGATGTCTTCACTATTATTCAAATTATTCTAAATAGTAAAAAGAAAGAAAAACCCTTGAATGAGTAGGTGTCTAAACTTTTGACTGGTACAAAATATATATTTTTTTTTTCTTCTGATTTTCCAGTGGGTGCTGCAGCACCCTCAGCACCCCACTTCCTGTGGCTATGACTGAAGGGTCATTCCGATAATGGCTGATATGTATTTGTTTAATTGATTGATCATATTTAAAAGTGTGCTTTCATGAATTACATTAACAACAATTATGAAACTCATTTCCCAATGCAAATAGTCCGGGTGGCCATTTCATTAATTGTTCAGCAGTCTTATGGCAGAGAGAACAGTCTATAACTTGGGTGACTGGAGTCTTTAGGTCCTGGACGGCAGGAAGCTTGGCCCCAGTGATGTACTGGGCCGTACGCACTACCCTCTGTAGCGCCTTATGGTCGGATGCCGAGCAGTTGCCATACCAGGCGGTGATGCAACCCGTCAGGATGCTTTCGATGGTGCAGCTGTATAACTTTTTGAGGATCTGGAACCCATGCCAAATCTTTTCAAAAGGTGTTGTTGTGCCCTCTTCACGACTGTCTTGGTGTGTTTGGACCATGATAGTTTGTTGGTGATGTGGACACCAAGGAACTTGAAACTCTAGACCCGCTCCACTACAGCCCCGTCGATGTGAATGGGGGCGTGTTCGGCCCTCTTTTTCCTGTAGTCCACGATCAGCTCCTTTGTCTTGCTCACGTTGAGGGAGAGGTTGTTGTCCTGGCACCACACTGCCATGTCTCTGAAAGCCTCCCTATACGCTGTCTCATCGTTGTCGGTGATCAGGCCTACCACTGTTGTGTCGTCAGCAAACTTAATGACGGTGTTGGAGTCGTGCTTGGCCACGCAGTCGTGGGTAAACAGGGAGTACAGTACCTTATTACCATCTTTTCGGCGTGTATCCCAAAAGCTTATTCTTTCTCCATTTATTTTCCCCATAGGAATGGCTGAACGAACCAGAGGTAACTCATTTCGTTGTTTGTTTTATGAGCAAAAAATATATTTTATTTGGAACGGCAAGCCAGACAAAATTAAATGGGCCTTATATATATAATGAATATGAATTCGGAGGGCAGAAATTATTAATATTAAAGTATTAGACCTCTCACTATGGCTTCAGTCATACAAACGTTATTCTTAAATCTGAACTGGTTCTCTAGCAGATTAGTATGAATGTCTCACCCCAGGTTCAAGAATTGCCTTTATCACTTTATTCAGATTACAACCTCTCTCTTTCGGTTATTTATAGTCATAGAAAGTTGGTTGCAATTTCAGTTTAATCCACCAGAAAAGACAGAACAAAATATTATAACAATTATTATGGTTAAACTAAAATATACTAATTGATAAAATACCAATA